CGGCAGTCGTGGGGTATGCAGTGCACGTGAAACGGGAAAAACTAGAGAAGACAACAACTGAGAACTTTTTTCTCCAAGGCAAAATCGAATCCCTTCCTCCAGCGGCCAAATACAACCCATCTCGCTGGGGTTCGCCAACTTACGACGCGCCCTCTGTGGAAATGACGCATGCAATCATGGCTAGCATTTCTTGCGGCTAGTGGAGTATTACGCCGTATGGCTGTGCATGCCCGCTACTGCGTTGCGGCCGAGACGACGCTTTTTCTTCAGATAATTCATGGTAGAAACCCGTTTCGCTGTTGGTCGTCACTGACTGAATTACCTAAGCATTTCTTGTAGTCGTCACAACAAAGTGCACTCTTCACGTTCGGCACGGAAATTGTTTCGAAATTGCGCGCGTTTTGTGGCAAAAAACTCGGACGGACGCCGGCTGCTGGGCTGGCTGTGGCTGTGGACAACGACGCACAGGACTTTGTGCCTTGGCGAGAGTGCACTATGAATTGACGGGGGCAGCCAGCCGATATAGCATGGTAATAACGTCAAACGGTAAAGTGCGAATGCACTAATATGCACGAACAATGAGATTTTGCTCAGTTCTTGTGGATAGCCCTGGCTCGGGTTTTTGCACATTTGAACAATTAAATACGAAGCTGTGCACTTGAACTCTGGCGCAACGTCATTCCCTATTAACAAGTGCATGCCGCGGGGCTCGTTGACGGGCGACGTGCTTTTCGTTTCCTATTGCTGAAGCCCAGAGGAGATTCTCAGTCACGACAACAACCTACAGAAAACGAGCATAGCCATAAAGAAGTTACTGTTAAATAAGTAACGGCGCAGCTCGGCGATGGGGGGCATTTTGCACTTTTGCTACTTCCCAATAAGCGTGGAGCCATCTAGAGAGGTATTTCATTAGATTCTACCAATCGCTTGACAGTTTTACCATGGTGGCTTCAAACAAGGCTTGCCTCCAGCCTTTCCATAGAGATCACTAGTTCAACAGAATGAGATGCTAAACCAAAACCAGTGAACGCCAGTCGAAACTGCAATATGCCCCCCCCCTCCCGTCCCAGAGGGACTGCGCCTAAACAGGTTATGCAACTGCCGTTGTAGGGGAGGTTTTAATTCAGGCAGTCCATGCCAGTGCAAGCAGGGGAACTTTGTCCAGTATTTATCCTTTCCCTTGCAGTTACCTGGAGACGGATAGAATCCTGGGAAGTCGTACACGGTTGGGATTTTCCAGCGGAACTGAGGTATTTTACGTATTTGGATCGTGGGGGGGGGGGAGGGGGAGAGAGGGGTATTGTCGCCTTCGTTTCTTGGGGGAAAACTATTTTCGGTTGGACTGAGTCTTTCTCGACTTCTCCTGTCATGTACACTATCTCCTCCTTGACGGCAGCTTTTCCTGAGGAAAAGTGGAGGGATTTTGGAAAAACTTTTTGAAAGTAGTAGGGATAGCAGACGGGATTAGCGAATGGCTGGTAGGTAGGACTGGCAGCCAGGGGATGGCCGTAGAGGAACCTTATCAGAATAGGAAATTTTGAAGGGTGAGGGGGTTCGTATTAGAATAGAGGATGGGCAGGGGGCCGTATCAGAATAACAAGTTTGGAAGGGAGGGGTTCGTATTACCTGTAGCACCTGTTCTCCCATCGAGTTATTCGAGCGGGTGTAAGGGGTCTCAGATATAGCCCCTGCCCACCGTACTAGCTAACGCTCTGGAAGGGTGGGGGCAGGGGTCGTAGTTTGCAAGTTTTCCTCCCCAATAGCAGGACGTGGCCTGAACGAAATCTTCCAAGTAGGAAGCTTTTCTTCCATGTTCCACGGGAAGTTTCGGCTATTTTGGCCTCTTTCCCCTACCCCTTCCCCCCTCTCCCTCCGCAACTTTGATGTCTTTTGATGGAAAGTTACCGTTTAGCGCTCTGTTTAACTTACTCGATCCCTCTGGTTATCGTTCTGTCGGTATGCTTGCCTCCCCGGCAAAGTGCTCCTTCACATCAGTGGCCATGGTAAAGGAGGAGGTTAGAGAAAGCGAGCGCTAGCAAGACTGGAAAACAAAAAAGGGCTTTAGGAATCGATGTGTTGTGGTGGTACGGTAGTGGTAATACCCCACTTGTACTATCCAGTACATCCTCCCAGTAGATTCCCATCATGGGGAGACTCACCCGTAGGTCAGTATTGGACAACGGTTGGTAATTACTGAAAAACTGGAACATAGAGGTTGCTTGAGAACCACTTGCATGAGCTCTTCTCACAACACCCATGCTTAGCCGCAGGTCCACTAGGTGCTGTTCGCTTGGAGGGGCTGTAAACTCCTGTTGAAGCCGCGAAAATGTTGGAGTGAGCCGTTTTGATCACAGAAATTCACAGGTCTTTACAAGGTGGCCTGTACAAGCCTAGCTCTGTTTCATTGGGTGCCCCCACCAAACCAAACTGTGCCTGTCCAGTACCTTCTCCAGAACTGAACCCATAGAATGGTGACTCTTTTTGTTATTTGTTCATAGAAAGGTAATACGGCTAGATTCTACTAGTATTATTTGTCGTGACTACAATTCATTCTTCAACGCAAGTGACGAAATCGCCATAAACATCCCGGCTGCTGTCGAGCTTAAACACTCTAGTCACTCCCAAGTAGACCTTCAGGTAAGCTTTCTTGTAGCCCTCCAGAATGGAGTAAAACTCGGTCCTGTTCGGTTTATAGGGGACATTTTGCACCTGCGCCAGTTCCTCGTGTTGGTTCATGTTAATTAACAGGTCTAACATTGGTGACACCTGTAAACTCTTGTACGAGCCTTTTTGCAAGAGAGCCACTTTGCTTACAGAAGTTAACAGGTCTTCACAAGGCGGCCAGTGTTCACAGAAAACCACTCAGTGCCCCTCCCTGCTCCGAATCTCTACTGCTGCGTCCACAAAAACATTTGTATTCTTATTTGCCAGAGTACTACTTCCTTGACATTACTTGTGCAGCTGTGGGACATGACAGCTACCTTTTTGGTGCATGTAAACAAGCCTGGGTAACCGTCTCGGAAAGGTAATCAGATAGAGCGTTCCCAATCAACAGCACCAGATCACGTCTTGCCGTTGGGAGGGGAAGCTTTTGCTGACCCCCCCCCCCTCCTATCAAGTTTTTCGCCTCCGATGGCTAACCTTCCCCATCCCACCTACCAGCTCCATAAATTTCCATGAGTTATCACCACCCGGAAAAGCAAGAAAAGTCAACGAAAACATTATTCTGAAAGGCGAACTATACACCACCGCTTCCACTAACCGAAT